ACATGTCAAAAGTAATTGCCGGTGCCGGAAAGTGCAGAGATTTACCTGATAAAAACTCCCTTTTAAGCGGTTAACGCCTCGTTCAACAGAATTCATCCAAAATGACTTCAAAAAATCGTACAAAATTTCATTTCTAACAAATATTGCCCATATTTAATCTCATTCAAAGGTTCTAAAAATATTAAGACATGTCAAGACGATAAGGTCGATCTTTAAGTCTTACCAGCCTAGACATGTGGCCTATAATATTGTTATCGTGTCCTTGTTTTGCATAGTCGCAACACAAAAATGAAGAAAAGCTGTCACGAGCTTGAATTTGAATTTGGGAGGTCACAAAGACGAGATAGGATTTTGGAGGATGATAACCACTTTGCCCATTACGTGTGAACTAGAGAAATAAACTTGTCAATAATCTTTCAAAGAAATTCTAAAACAACTTTCTTGTACTTTTCTTTATTTCATTTTCTAACATGATTCCATTTTAGATGCAATTTATCATAGAATTTCCTCTTTTTTTTCACATACCATCACCACCATATATGTCCAGCTGTCTCTCAATTTGTTGGTCCACTCCTTAACAAAGAAGGTGGGACCCTTCATTTTTAGCTATCTGCCAACCCCATCTAGAAGTAAATATGAACCCGTAGGACTCTCTTGTCGTCTCTTTAATTTAGTCAACCCATCATTTCTCATCAATTTCCTCCAGTTCTTGAAGCATAAGAACTTGAAGAAAAATGGAATTGGACTCATCTAAAACAGAAATTTATCTTGAACAGCATATGATTCAGATCGTCCCTTTTTCTCAGTATTATGCATCGTGCATACCCTCAATTTCGATTGATGCCTGTGTCCCTTAGTGCGTTTGTTTACGAGTCGCGAAGCTCCTTCCAACGTAAGGGTTTGTTTGACAAAGTTTTTTATGAAAGTTTTCGTAGATTTTGATAATTGATGTAAATATATGTGTCTAAATTGTCAACCCGACATGTCATTTTCACTCTCTATAAACGCACTCAACAACATAAATTCCTACATGAGTTTCGTCGAAACACACGGTTTCTATTATCACGTGTCTGATGCCGACTTAAAAACTGGTGCCAACGGGCCCAACTCTGGGAAATATGCAAGCAATTTCCACGAAAGAATA